GCTCCAGCCATGTTGCCAATCGTCCTGGAAACCGTGGCTTAGTTCGGAGCTGGCCGCTGGCTCGAATCAGAACACCACGGAACAGGGTGTGTGCCGTCACCATCCCAGCGAGGATGAAAACGGCAGCTCGTCCTAGTACGGGCGGCACCACGAGCACTCGCGAGCGTATCGCTCTCGTCAGCAGGAAAGGAGGACACTATCTATGCCCGCATTACATCTCTAATTATCAGTTGGCATGCCGTGCCCATGGCACGACTGCGTAGCCCCGCGGCAGCCATCGGCAGGCAGCAAGTGTGCGGTAGAATACATCGTCGTACTGAACTACGCATGCATGTTCACGTATGCATGTTGAACTTCTTTCTCACCGCAACCGTGCTAATCGGAGGTGCCCCCCCAAAACGTAAACCCTCCTCGCCTTCGCCAACCCGCCCTGACCAGCGTGGTGAAGTATGGCGAACTAAACCCCACGACCCGCAGCGGGGAACCTCAATCACCGCGGTGGGTGAACACAAGAGGCACAATGTGGGCGTGCATGATGGTCCCACACGGAAGGACAACAATCCCCCGTGTAGCCTTAACAGATTGTTGGGGCAAGTGCTGTTAGCGAGTGCCTATTAAGGTTGGCACGGTACACGAAGGGGGGGGGGGGTGGCGAGCAACCAGACCTGGCCGCTTTTGTCTCTCCAGTGGTGATGTTTACAAATTGCACCACTTACTTATTTGAGGCTGAGTCGACCTAGGGGAAGCCCAGGACTGGTTCAGAGAGTCGTCACTGGTGTTGGCCGTGAGCGGAAATAAAAAAAAAACTAAACTATATTTTATTTTACCAGGTAAGGCCCACTGAGCTGTATAGCTATTTTTCAGAAGTGACTTGGCCACAAATGACAACTCAACAAAAATGTCTTATTGTGTGGAAAATTATTGCAGCCAAATACTCCAAACGCGTGATGTTGATTCTAAATGTGGAGGGAATAACCAGAGGACCCGGAGAGAAATCCAATTGACCACGGGGAGAGAGAGAGAGACACGCAGACTCCAAATATACAGCAGGCGTCGGGGTCGGGATTCAACCCACGACATCCTGCACACCAGGCGAGGTAGTTAACATCTCCGCCACCGTGGCGCCCCAAATAGAACTTGGGTCACCGGGTTCGTAGTGCAGCGAGCTAACTCCTTACACTGCCGCTCCGCACAACCATGCGCGCGTGTGCACATGCGTACACACACGCGCGCATTCATCCCACGGGATGCCTGCAACGCCGCTCCTCGTGCAGCTCGGCAGTCAAAGCCGCGGGAGCACCGGTCGACTCGTTGCCGTCCGCCGGCGTTTCGTTTCCGCCGCCGATCGCTGCCAAGCGGGAGACGCGGCGCCGCGGAGGTGGAGGCGCAGCCCCGTAATGCCTCGCTCACGATGCTGCCGGCGGAAGCGCCGACCACCGCGGCCCCCCCCCCCCCCCCTCGAGAGCGGTAATTTGGCCCGAATCTTCCACGCCGACCAGGTGGGAGCACTCACACTTTACCCCACCGCACGCGACCTGCCGCTCCGGTGAACAGAGACGGCGAGGGGGGGCATCGGGGGGGGGGGGGGGGGGAGGCTTTCCCCATCGCATCGGCTGCCGCGCCGGGAGATCGAACGTAGCGGGCGACCTCGCGACACGACATGGGCTGCGGGTCAGGTGGGAGGAGGCTTCTGTACGGGGTGGACAAGGCTTCTGTGTCGGGTGAGAGGACGCTGCATTCGGTGACACAAGTCTTCTGTTTTGGAAGAATGTTGTAATGGATGATGCGTGAATTCCACTGTATGGCGTATTTAGAAGGTCAATAGTTCTGTAGGGTATAACACAGTGGTTCTGTAGGGTATAACACAGTGGTTCTGTAGGGTGTAATACAGTGGTTCTGTAGGGTATAACAGAGGTTCTGTATGGTATAACACAGTGGTTCTGTAGGGTATAACACAGTGGTTCTGTAGGGTGTAACACAGTGGTTCTGTAGGGTATAACAGAGGTTTTGTAGGGTATAACACAGTGGTTCTGTAGGGTGTAACACAGTGGTTTTGTAGGGTGTCACACAGTGGTTCTGTATGGTATAACACAGGGGTTCTGTAGGGTATAACACAGTGGTTCTGTAGGGTATAACAGTGGTTCTGTAGGGTGTAACACAGTGGTTCTGTAGGGTGTAACACAGTGGTTCTGTAGGGTATAACAGAGGTTATGTAGGGTATAACACAGTGGTTCTGTAGGGTATAACAGTGGCTCTGTACGGTGTAACACAGTGGTTATGTAGGGTGTAACACAGTGGTTCTGTAGGGTATAACAGAGGTTCTGTATGGTATAACACAGTGGTTCTGTAGGATATAACACAGTGGTTCTGTAGGGTGTAACACAGTGGTTCTGTAGGGTATAACAGAGGTTCTGTATGGTATAACACAGTGGTTCTGTAGGGTATAACACAGTGGTTCTGTAGGGTGTAACACAGTGGTTCTGTAGGGTATAACAGGGGTTTTGTAGGGTATAACACAGTGGTTGTGTAGAGTATAACACAGTGGTTCTGTATGGTGTAAAACAGTGGTTCTGTAGGGTGTAACACAGTGGTTCTGTAGGGTATAACAGAGGTTCTGTAGGGTATAACACAGTGGTTCTGTAGGGTATAACACAGTGGTTCTGTAGGGTGTAACACAGTGGTTCTGTAGGGTATAACACAGGGGTTCTGTAGGGTATAACACAGTGGTTCTATAGGGTATAACACATTGGTTCTGTAGGGTGTAACACAGTGGTTCTGTAGGATATAACAGAGGTTCTGTATGGTATAACACAGTGGTTGTGTAGAGTATAACACAGTGGTTCTGTATGGTGTAAAACAGTGGTTCTGTAGGGTATAACACAGTGGTTCTGTAGGGTATAACACAGTGGTGCTGTAGGGTATAACACAGTGGTTCTGCAGGGTATAACACAGTGGTTCTGTAGGGTGTAACACAGTGGTTCTGTAGGGTATAACACAGGGGTTCTGTAGGGTATAACACAGTGGTTCTATAGGGTATAACACATTGGTTCTGTAGGGTGTAACACAGTGGTTCTGTAGGATATAACAGAGGTTCTGTATGGTATAACACAGTGGTTGTGTAGAGTATAAACACAGTGGTTCTGTAGGGTGTAACAAAGCGGTTCTGTAGGGTATAACACAGTGGTTCTGTAGGGTGTCACACAGTGGTTCTGTAGGGTATAAAAGAGGTTCTGTATGGTATAACACAGTGGTTGTGTAGAGTATAACACAGTGGTTCTGTATGGTGTAAAACAGTGGTTCTGTAGGGTATAACACAGTGGTTCTGTAGGGTATAACACAGTGGTTCTGTAGGGTGTAACACAGTGGTTCTGTAGGGTATAACAGAGGTTCTGTAGAACATAACACAGTGGTTCTGTAGGGAATAACACAGTGGTTCTGTAGGGTGTCACACAGTGGTTCTGTAGGGTATAACAGGGGTTCTGTAGGGTATAACACAGTGGTTCTATAGAGTATAACACAGTGGTTGTGTAGAGTATAACACAGTGGTTGTGTAGAGTATAACACAGGTTCTGTAGAGTATAACACAGTGGTTGTGTAGAGTATAACACAGTGGTTGTGTAGAGTATAACACAGTGGTTGTGTAGAGTATAACACAGTGGTTGTGTAGAGTATAACACAGTGGTTGTGTAGAGTATAACACAGTGGTTGTGTAGAGTATAACACAGTGATTGTGTAGAGTATAACACAGTGGTTGTGTAGAGTATAACACAGTGGTTGTGTAGAGTATAACACAGTGGTTGTGTAGGGTGTAATACAGTGGTTGTGTAGAGTATAACACAGTGGTTGTGTAGAGTATAACACAGTGGTTGTGTAGAGTACAACACAGTGGTTCTGTAGTTCCTGCAGTCGCTGCCGCCAGTCAAGGGAATTGAACGCGAGATGCCCCTCGGTGGCTGTGGGCTCAAGCCGCCAGCTCGGGAAGCGGCGGGAATGGCACTGAGCCAGCCCGGCCGCAGATACGGAAAGAAACGGACGCGGAGAAAGACAGACTCAGAGCCACCGGTGGAAACGTCGTTCAGGAAAAAACAGAACTTCAGATTAAAGACTCCATCGCCAATCGTATAAATGCCGACCGGGACACTTCTTTCATTCCTGACACCCCCACGCTGCTCCCACACTGCCCCCACGCTGCTCCCACACTGCCCCCACGCTGCTCCCACACTGCCCCCACGCTGCTCCCACACTGCCCCACGCTGCTCCCACACTGCCCCCACGCTGCTCCCACACTGCCCCCACGCTGCTCCCACACTGCCCCCACGCTGCTCCCACACTGCCCCCACGCTGCTCCCACACTGCCCCCACGCTGCTCCCACACTGCCCCCACGCTGCTCCCACACTGCCCCCACGCTGCTCCCACACTGCCCCCACGCTGCTCCCACACTGCCCCCACGCTGCTCCCACACTGCCCCCACGCTGCTCCCACACTGCCCCACGCTGCTCCCACACTGCCCCCACGCTGCTCCCACACTGCCCCCACGCTGCTCCCACACTGCCCCCATGCTGCCCACTGCGGCGCCGGAATCTCACATTTTTGAAGGTGAAATTCATCCAGGATCTGAGTGCGCCATGATGCATGAAGTTAGGAAATACAAAATACTACAAATTTCAGAGTCCGCTGGTCACACGTGGGAAGTGTCGGCCTTCAGGCGATATCGGCGAGTCCTTCAGAGAAGACCTACACAGGGCGTGTGGTCTCGCCTGTCTTACCACTGGTAGCAGGGCAGATAGAGAGACACAGATAAAGACACACAAAGAGAGAGACAGATACATACACAGATAGAGATCGATAGATAAAGAGACGAATAAAGACACAGGCACATATAGAGAGATACAAATAGAGAGAGACAGACAAAGACATAGAGAGAGAGAGATAGACAGTCAGTGAGAGAGAGACAGACAGACAGCGAGAGAGAGAGGTGCGATCGGGGGTGTGCACCCACCTGCACGATGAGCTCGGCGTCCTCGACCTGCTGCTGCTGCTGTTGTGGGCGATGGTGACGCCCAGCACGAGCGTGTGGATGCCGCACGACACGGCGCTCATGAGCACGATGGGCGTGAGGCGCAGCGGCAGCGTGAGGAAGAAGGCGAAGGTGAAGAAGGCTTGCCAGTCCACCGTGTCGCTCGCCTCGTGGAAGCGCGAGAAGCTCAGGCCCAGGTAGCAGAAGATCTGCGCCCCGATGAGGATCCACAGCGTGTAGGGGATGAACTTTGGCAGGATGCGGTCGGGCAGTGCCCGGAACCAGCAGAGAAGCAGCAGCAGTGTGTTGGCGGCCCGGCCCACGGCCGCCACCGCCACGGAGGCCAGCTTGTCGTCGGTGTAGATGACGGCGCACATGACGATTACGTAGCAGTCGAAGAGGGCCGCGAAGGCCACGAGCACGAGCAGCGTGTCGTGCCTCTGGCGCCGGAAGTACGTCTGGTAGAGGTTCTCCAGCGACTCGGGCCTGAAGGTGAGGCGCATGAAACGCGGCAGGCACAGGCAGCAGCCCGTGCTGCGCACGGTCACCTCGCGGTTCTGCTCCACGCCCGTGCCCGGGTCCGACGGGAGGCTCACCGAGTAGTCCGCCGAGTACTCGGCCGAGTACTCGGGCTCTGAGAAGGCCCTGGCGCGAGGCATGGCGGTGGCGGCGGCGGCGATGGTGGCGGCGGAGCGGGTGACGGCGCGGGCCGTCCGTGGGTTCCGTTCTTCCTCTAACCGAGGGTCTCCACCTCGTCCTCCTCAATCGGAGGGCTTCAGCCGGACTGGAGCTCAGGCCGAGTGAGAACAGACGGTTCTTCACTCGAGGTCGCTTCAGCCACGGAGCAAACGACAGGGTCAGTGGCAGGGTCAGCGGCAGGGTCAACGCCAGGTTCAACGGCAGGGTCAACGGCAGGGTCAACGGCAGGGTCAGCGCCATGTTCAACGCCAAGTTCAGTGGCAGGGTCAGCGACAGGGTCAGCGGCAGGGTCAGCGGCAGGTTCAGCGGCACGGTCAGCGCCATGTTCAGTGCCATGTTTAGCGCTAAGTTAAGCGGTTGGGTCAGCGGCAGGGTCAGCGGCATGTTCTGCGCCAGGTTCAGCGGCAGGGTCAGCGGCAGGGTCAGTGGCAGGGTCAGCGGCAGGGTCAGTGAGAATGGAGACGGCACAAACAACAACATGGGGCTCCCCTCCACACGTCCACCGGTCAGCCTGCCCTCGCGAGGATCGTGTCATACGCCACAGGCAACGTTTCAGGCGCACGGCTCTGCTTCATAGCAGAGAGGTGCTCTGAAAAAGGGCGTTGGCCCGAAACGTCACCCACTACATATATTTCCTCTTTAGGGTGGCGGTGTTGTTGATAAATGTGTTGCATAAAGTGGAGCGATTTAGACACCTCAACGACTGTGCTATCCTGCTGCTGCTGTTGTCAGAAGCAGCATCATCATAATCATCATCTTCATCTGTCCTAATAATCATCATCATCAACACTGATTATATTTTCATCATTATCATCTTGTTTATTTTTTAAGTCCTTGAGCCAGTTGGCCAGGATTGGGCAAAACTTAGCCCCCACTTTCACCCAGAGCATCACAGGCTTCGCGTTCCTGACTTAACTTAACAACATATATACAATGAAAAATAATTAAAGTAGCACTTGACCGTGTTTGGTTTAGCGGCAGACTCTACACCGCTGGTGCAGGGTGCGGCGAGCGAGCTCACATTAGTGCGAGTGAGTGAGCTCACATTAGTGAGAGCGAGCGAGTGAGCTAACGTCAGTGCAAGCGAGTGAGTGAGTGAGCTAACGTCAGTGTAAGCGAGTGAGCTAACGTCAGTGCAAGCGAGCTAACGTCAGTGCGAGCGAGTGAGCTAACGTCAGTGCGAGCGAGTGAGCTAACGTCAGTGCGAGCGAGTGAGTGAGCTAAAGTCAGTGCGAGCGAGTGAGCTAACGTCAGTGCGAGCGAGTGAGTGAGCTAACGTCAGTGCGAGCGAGTGAGCTAACGTCAGTGCGAGTGAGTGAGTGAGCTAATGTCAGTGCGAGTGAGTGAGTGAGCTAACGTCAGTGCGAGTGAGTGAGCTAACGTCAGTGCGAGCGAGTGAGCTAACGTCAGTGCGAGTGAGTGAGTGAGCTAACGTCAGTGCGAGTGAGTGAGTGAGCTAACGTCAGTGCGAGTGAGTGAGTGAGCTAACGTCAGTGCAAGCGAGCAAGCAAGTGAGCTGATGTTAGAGAGCGAGCGAGTAAGCTGTTAGTGTGCGTGAACGAGCGAGCTTACGTTAGAGCGAGCGAGTGAGCTGATATAGGAATAGGTTTTACCCTTTTAACTGGCACAAAAACTGACACCTTTATTCAAGGCATCATGTTTGCAATAACCACAACACAAGCAGTCGAAATGCAAACAAAAAGACAACTATGATAATAATATGCACTGTCCTTGAATTTGATTGGTCCACACTCGAGACAGCTTTTCTTAGAGCCTAGTCTCCATTGGTGTTGGACCAGAAGACGCCAAAAGGCGTACAGTTGTACAGTTGTACGCCTTTTGTACAGTTGTACGCCTTTTGTACAGTTGTACGCCTGTTGGCGTCTTCTGGTCCAACACCAATGGAGACTAGGCTCTAAGAAAAGCTGTCTCGTGTGTGGACCAATCAAATTCAAGGACAGTGCATATTATTATCAGAGTTGTCTTTTTTGTTTGCATTTTGACTGCTTGTGTTGTGGTTATTGCAAACATGATGCCTTGAATAAAGGTGTCAGTTTTTGTGCCAGTTAAAAGGGTAAAACCTATTCCTATATCTTGTTTCTGGCAAAGGAGGTCTCATAATGAGTGAGCTGATGTTAGAGTGAGCAAGCCAATGTCAGTGCGCTTGAGCGAGCGAGCTAATGTCAGTGCGCTTGAGCGAGCAAGCTAATGTTAGTGTGCGTGAACGAGCGAGCGAACGTTAGGGCGAGCGAGCGAACGTTAGCATGAGCGAGCGAGCGAACGTTAGCATGAGCGAGCGCGTGAGTTCCTGCGAGAGATGGTTCGAGCCGGATTGGTCGGCTTGGTTCCCCCCTCCCCCCCACCCCCCCTGGGGGGGGCGAGCGTGATGACGTCACCACGTTTTGATACGCTATGCCCGTCGGCCCTCCCCAGCTCGTGATTGGCTGCGTGCAATCTGGCTCCGGTGTATTGGGTCAAATCGTTCACCGAGCTGGACTTTGATTTTAAGTCAAAATTAAGAAGAAAAAAAAGTGTATACACAAAACTCTAGATGGATGAGGTTCTTAAAATGTGAACAAAGTCACTGCAGCAATCACTAGGGCTTCATTTCTCACTCGATATTTTTTCCTGAATGCTGGTCAGCTGGCTTGGCATACGGCACTACCACCAGAGTGCAAGGTTACGCCCCTCCGTAATTATCCTTTATTAATGTGCCCTCATATTCCTGCACACCACTGCGGCGTCAAGACGACAAAATACGTGTGAATGGATGGGTGTGGCTGGTGGCCGATATCATTCCTGGAGCGACGTTCCGGACTGCTCGGGCTGCGACTGCGAAACCGGGATGGCGCAGCGGGGAATGCGCGGATTTAGTCGAGACTCACGCATGGCAGATGGCGGGCGAGGAAGTGACATTTTGGTCGAAATGTCCCTCTCGGTTCTGTCTCTGCAGCACAAAGTTATTTTCTCCCTGCAATCCTTCGGAAAACAACACCAACAACAACAGCAAACACAAATCAGCGTACACAACTCGCAGCTTCATATTATAGCCTGGGCGGCGACAGCGGTGGTGGTGGCTATGCACGTGGCCTGCCATCTGTAGAAGCGAGGGTCAGTGGATTGCCGCGTGAATGTCGCGAAGGAGCCATACCCTGGCTCGCAAGACGGT